CAGCTGTTTCGACACACACTTACCGATCGACGAACGAACCAAGGAACAAGGAGGATCGTATAGAACGATAGTTGGCAGGTCACCACTGTTCTGGAAGAGCACAAGGATTATCCGAGCGTTATACGCAATGAGAACGAGGGCTTATCAAACTTCAGGATAAGTCGGATGGCTAAAACCTCAGCCTGAATCCATCTTTAATTCGAATTATGCCTTTGAACCCACTGGAAGGCTACAGACAGTTCAGCTTTAGCGGATTCTTTTTCATCTAGATTTGTGAAGGCAACCGCTACCGGCAGTATAGGCCGTCAAATTCAGATAAAAATTGAATTTTATGAGCATTTATTCTAGATAAAATCTTTGCAGATTAATAAATACTTTCCGTTATTTTCTTTAATGACAAGTATTAACTACCCTCTCCGATGTCAAGTGCACTGGTTCTTGGCAAAATGTTATGCGGATCGTGATTTATCAGAGGAGGCTTTCCGCGAACTTTCGAAGGTTCGTTCAATTTTACATATCTTTGTCTTAGGTCTACAAGGAAAATGAATGCAACCATACTATCTTCATTCGTTTTAAATAAATGAATTGTCATTCTTCATGCAATAGCGCCAATCAAATAGTTCGAGATATTTTGCTGAAATATAGCCTTTTCAACATAAATGTATGGACCTGGAAATATTTGAAACATTTAAGAGTTTGCTATTGGCCTCGTAGAGTACACTAGTAAATGTTCTTTCAGTTCAATTTCTCCACAAAGCTTCCTCGGCTTTCGGCGTGAAGATAGAGGTGATATAGTAAGCAGTTAAAAGTGGGCGTCTGAAACGGATCTTTACTCACTCAAGTGAAATCTATTGTTGATGTTCCAACTAACGGAGCTAATGGTTACTTTTTCACCTCCTCATTCATAGCCAGCCCCTAACAGCTCTTCGGTTTGTAGGCACGATCGTTTGATGAAAATCTGAAGTACGGCGATAGTATGGATCACTTCGCCTTCTGCCTCAAAAGTCGGACCAAGCTGTACACCACACCAAAAAATCTGGCGGAGCGGGCCAGACAGCTTATAGAACATGTCGTGGCCACTGCGACGTTATCGAAAAGGAACATTTGGAGCACCGCCTGTCTTACCTTTAAATCGGCTGAAAGCTGTGCCCTTCCCGATGAAAATGCAAACTTGATTAAGTTTAATTCGCCTGTTCTGGTGAGCATGTTGACCTGTTGGTTAATATTTCAGTATTATCTTTCCCTGGCTCCAGTTGAAATGTCTCTGGCAGTGGGGCCGCCTGAGAGAAGATATTCATCAAAAAACTGCTTCCAATTTTTCAGTAGGCCAAACTTCCGCATATCCAAATGCGGCACTGATTATTTTAGCCAATAAGAGTTGTTGTAATAGTTTTCTTGGTCTATAAGCTTACATTTTTGCCTTTGTTGTCCTTTTCGCAACCTTTTCACATACGCTCTTAATTAAGGGAATCAATTGTAAGTGGTTTTTCTTTATTTCCTATTGTGTACTTTCCATTAGGCGACCCTACGAT